GAGTCCACCAATGTGATCATCTGTGCACAGGCATTTTAAGCCCTGTTGCTGATTCCCTAGTGACGGGTTTAGATAGATGTTAACAATATGTTGTAGCAAATAAATAAATCACTTTTCTCCTATTACGACTTCACCAAACCAACTGTGTGGTTTGTGATCTTCATAACAAATCAAATTTTTTTATATATTATAGTATAGTATATAATAGTATATATATATATATATAACAATCTCTGAGTAAACAAAGTTATTTATCATGATTGAAATTTTAGAATTCATAAATTATTTAAACTACTGTAAACAACCACGCTAGCAGGTGATACAGCAGTGTTTTTAGCTAAATGCTCACAATGACAATCTTATATTGATATTTAGAATGTAATATTTACCAGGTTCAGTTTAGCCAGTTAGCATGCTAACATTTGCTAACTGGCACTAAACACAAAGTGCAGCTGAGGCTGATGGGAATGTCAATAGTTTTGTGGGTATTTGGTCACAAATGCATTTTGACCTGATAATAGTAAAGTCATACGGATTAATTTATCACCTGGGAAGCATGAGTATCTGTGCATTTTTTTATACCAATCCATCTCATAGATGTCAAGTTATTTCACTGAATAAGTAAAAACTTTGACCTGCTGGTCACTAAAAGATACCCTCCAGGGGCCTTGAATATCTACACCTAATCTGATGGTAATCAGTCCCGTAGTTGTCAAGATATTTTACTTTGGACCAAAGTGGTGGAAGCTACTCCACTACTGGAGCAAAAAAGTTACTTTGCTCCAAAAAGATGAGCACAGCATCAAGCGCTTTCATGTCCACACGGCTAGATCCAATGACTCTTGCAATGACCTGCAACCCCCTGAGAATGCAAACCCCACATGAGGTCTACAGTTGTAGGGACAGTTTCCTCTCCTGTTGTCCTCTCCAGGCTGGTTTAGACATTCCTGGCCTGGCTTTGTGCAGTTGGCAGGGCTGCTGTGATCAGGAGGCCTGCTGACAGACGGATGTTCATTCACCTGCCGGTATCGCCTCTGGCATCGGCTTCACATTCCTCAGGCTGTGTGAAGCTGTCAGACTCACACCGTGGCTTTATTACATCTCTCTCATCATTCACACACAGTTTAAAGAGAACTCGGGAATCTCGTATGATGCTAAATGAAAGTTCCTAAAAATGTTGAACCTTTAGTTTCCTTTCATGTGATGCAAGCTGATGTGTGGACATATTTGTTGTTAAACCATTCGGATGGAAACACCGAAGAATTGTGAAGAAATCTGTGTGTCAAGCCTGTATATATTCCACACTCTATTGCACCACAAGATACTTAATGAGTACAGGATAACAGGTTGCATTGTTACTTTAGATTTTATTGGAAGGTACAGCAGATATTCACTTCACAATTATTTGCAGTTTTTTGCATCCACAGATGCACCAACAAACCAAGAAAAAATATATATTTTTGTATAATATGTGCATGTAAAAGCTTGATGAAACAGTGAATCCTTGTAGGGCGATTTGGTGAACTAGCCATCCAGCCAAAAACATGTTAGTGCCAGTCAGTCACAAGAGCTTCTTTCTGTTTGTACTGGGATCTTTGTTCCCCTTCATTTAATATTCAATATCATAGTTACTGAAATGTCGAAAAAAGCTCTCAGTAAGCTTTCAAATTTAACTTGGTTGCTAACGGGACCATAAGTTCACACAGTTTGTTCAAAAGATGCATTTGTACCATCGACTCGTGTCTCATAACTTTCTACAAACCAGTCCTCGTCTTATACTGTAACAGAAGAGGGTTAAATTGAAGTAGATGGCGCAACACAGCTAAAATAGCTTCCTCCATTTTGAAATCTTCACCTCTCCGTAAGATCAGTCGTGCCAAGAGTCGTCTTTGCTATTGGTCAGTGGTGTAATGGTGCAGTTGAACTTGACAAGAAAAAATCCACAAAGATTTTGTTTCACTGTGACTTTATAGGAATGAATTGATTCCACTGCAATGTTTGAATGCCCTAACTCTGACCTAAAATTAGACTTGACCATAGCATAGTTATAACCCTATTCAAATCTGAACCTGATTCCTGTCACGATTATGAAATAAAGACACATTACGTTCACTTCTAGCTGAACTATTCAGAGTACAACTTTTTCTATTATACATGTTTATATATTTTCATGGAATTGTTTAAACAAGTATTCAAAGTTTTTTAAACTGAGTCAGAAATCTGTAACTGCTGTAGAACAACATCCCTCTGCCTCGTAGTTCAGGAAACTTAACCTTCCGTCAGTTCTGATGCGTTTTATCACTCCAGTTGTTCCAACTTCTGCTTTTGTGCACACCCCTTGTTTTGTCAATAGCCCCAGTAAAGACATTCATCACTTCACAAAATACACACAAGTTCAATTGAGTGACACAAGATGTACTGATTGACACTATCACCATGTTACAAGTGGTGATTGAAGTGAAATACAGATTTTAATTTCCAACCCATTGTACGCTCTCAGAAACTGTTTCTTTGCTTCAGATGCCAAACTAAGTAGAACAAACAAACTTACTTAACCTCAAAACGAATGAATGGCATTTGTGGGTTTTCTTTTTGTGGGTGAGTGAAAAGGATGAACATCCCTACATGGGATTCAGTTCAGCTTTTTTCTTCCACACTACTAAATCCCTCTTGGAATGCCCAATCTTTCAGCAGCCAGGTTTTCACTATAGTGGCTAACCGGTCTCCACAGATCCCTATCTATCCCCGTGGCTCAACTCAGAATAGCTGTATAGACTAAGATCAATGTGAAGTCTTACCTGTAACCTGAGCCTCAGTAATCACATTACTGGTCTAAACCCAAACTGCTTTATATTGGTGCAGTTCAGATTAACTTGTGAGTCGGGTTTTTGACTATTGTGGCGTTTGTGACAACAATATACCACTTTGAAATATGCCATTATACAAATATTTGTATAAATCCAAAGATGAACACTCCCTTTCATGCTGTCACATCACCCTCAGGGACTACACTGTTTTTTTGAAGCCATTTAATGGTTAAGCGTAAATCACATCAATAGATTGGGAGTAGGATTATGTCAGTTATCCTTTCCCTCAAACAGATGTTTCTCCATGGAGGTCAAAGTTTATAGCAAAGGCCACATATACTTGCCCAAAGCAGAAGTTACAAGAGGAAAAAGCAGGTGATTGCAGGACACATGACTGTGGGACAGGATACATTGTTTTCATTGTTCTGTGCCTTTTTCTTTTTTTTTTTTTTACTCTCTTTCAGATTGAAGAAAGACTCAAGTGCCTGGGGTAAAAGAGGACACACTCGAGTTGGCGGCTGCATCCTTGTTGGAAACAAATTTGTTCTAACACAGAAGCTTTTTCAACGTTAAACGTCAGCTGAGCTCAGCTTTTTAAGTATTTTACTGATTACTCAATCTGTGTGCTTTACAAACTATCAGAATTTACTGGATTTATAGACTAAATGTTACAACGGTATCACTTTATTTTAAGCGTTTATAATCAGTATATAAAGATATAATAAATGGTACATAACAAACTATAATGTAGTGTTGTAAACATGTGTCTTATGGTTTATTAATTTGTCAACAACTATGGAGTTACATAAGTGAATGCTTCTGTATAAACAGATAAACAGATAACAGATAAACAGATAAGATAGTAAAACACAGCTATAATAATATAAAACATGTCTTCATAGGAGAAGTTTAATTAAATGTGTATATACTGATTATAAATACTAGGGTGATTTAAAGGACCAGTGTGTAGGATTTAGTGGAATCTAACACTGTAGTTGCAGATCGCTACATGGCGATTTAACATGGCATCCTCCATGGAAGGCAACCTGCTGTGTCTGTAGATAATAATGTAACAACAACAGTTCCTATTTTCAGGTGATTATACAATTATACAAACATACCAACATAACATATTTTATTGCATTTCTGCCTATAGAGCCTCCTTAAAGTTACACACTGGACCTTTAAAGTAAAGTGTTACTGGAACCGCTTTACGATAAGGTACAAAAGGTTTTTAAGTTGTTGTTAACAATCAAATGATAAATAATGTAAATAAATGATGTTACAATGCTGTGTAACTGTAAATACAACTATTGGCATTTTATATTCATTGCCAACTCCCCAACCAAAGATATCCTTATTTGTGGGCTGGTAACCATAAAACTGGTCTCTGTACGCTATATAACAAAATATTACAGTTTTTCCCCTGAACAGTATATTTGGTACTCATTTGTAAAATATAATAATAATATATAAATAAACAAGATGATATAGGATGGCAAAATTTGAATTAGGGTTATAGTATTAATTTAGGATGCAATGCTATTTTTGTTAATGCTGCATTTTGCTTTTTTTCCATTGAGTAGTATTAAAGTTTCCGTTATGCTGAAAGACTTTAATGATGTATTAAATAAAAGTATTCTATGTTTGTCCCATATGTTTTTGACATTATTTACCATTAGAAGGCATTTATTTATAGTCTGTGAAGTTGTGAGTGATAGTTCACCTGGTAGAGCTGGCGTCCCACATACCAAGGCTGAGTCCTTGCTGCAGAGGCCACCGGTTCGAGTCCAACCTGTGTCATCCTCTCTCTTTCCCCCTTTCCTGTATATCTTCAGCTGTCCTGTCCAATAAAAGCAAAACCGACCACATTAATGACATTAGTGACACCAGAAGCTATGGCTAGGCTGTATGGAGTTAAACGGGACAATATAAGAGTAAAGATAAAACAAGATATCAACTGTACTTTTTTAATCAAATATTTCAAATGATGCTAAAAGTTTCAGAACCAAAACAACTTTATTAACATCCTATAATAACAACTTTATTCACAAACTTGATTCACAAGGTTATGAAGTATATAAACAGTACATCCTAGCAGAATACTGACACATTCTCCTTTGACCTGAGAAAAATAATTATTAGGTAAATTGGCACTTGGTAAGTCCATTATACTGTTTCTCTGCTGCTCCCCTGCTGACTTTCACCAACTGTTCTTTTAGATCGCCCCAACTCGTTTTACTGTTAGTGCAAACATGAGCTCCAGGTGCAAACACATTTAGTTCAAAGTGACAGTGTTAAAAGATAGGAATCCCCCAACACTGTGCTGCCCACATTCCTGGGTCAGTAGCCGGCTCTCTGATTTTGGAACCGGTGTTGTCCAGTAATGGATGTATATTAAGGTCATTATTGGTGCTGATTAAACCTTAAAGAGAGACTTGGATAGAAGATTATTCATTATTAAGATAGAACAATTAACAATTTAAAACACAATAAAGCACAATTAACTGCTGTGTGGAGTTCTAGTTCATCACTGAAGGACTTGCCTATATGTATATATATGGATCTAGATTCCTGCTTAATTTCACCAGCCATATAATATTTTTATAATTTCCATCTACAGTGATGTGTTGCCCAGTGTTTGGGTCTGATCCAGCTTCTATATTCAGCCTGTTTCCATGGGCTTCCACTCTGCTTTAAAGACAAGTGATAGCACCAGCCTATATCAATCTGCCCGCAGGATGCTTTAATCCACCATTAAGCAGATGAAATGTTGCACTGAGCCTGCGGTGCAGCAGTGATGGCAGGAGCGGATCTAAAATTTGTGCGTGCACTCCTCAAACCTGACCACAGTCATGGACACCCTGCACCAAATCATCCAGTGCAGCAGAACACAAACCTGTTCCCCCTCGGAAGTGGATCCAAATGTCTCAGGTCTCAGTATCCTCTATTTATACGCTGTGTATATTTACAACAGGCCGGATGATTAGGATGCTAGCTTGTAGTGAAGAGAATGTAGGGGCAATCTTCTTCGGCTATTCTAAGGAGACAAGGAGTTTATCGGGGGTGAGACACCTCTCTGATGTCATAGTTTGTTTTCAAAGAATCTGTCAGAGCTACTTTTGTGAGCTACTTCACACATTCTGCAGTTGATCCCTAAAAATGTCTTCTTTTATAACCTTTACATGACGAGGTGATCTCAGTGAGATTGAGATCTCTATTGCAACAGAGGCCTTCAAAAGGAAACATACAGAGAGAAGACAAGCAGCAGTGATAATTGATTCAAACATACTATTGATGCACATAGAAAAAATAGAAAAAAAAGCATCTCATCCATCACAGAGACTCAGGATTTATACTGTATGTGATGCAAAGTGGTGAAAAAGCTTTCTAAACTCAGTGTTAAGCTGTGTGCTATCTGAGGTTAGCCTGTGTTAAGATATAGCCAAGTCAACAGTAGTTTTAAAATTGAGGAGAAATTAAAAATATTGATTAAATTTCTATAAAAGATCCTTAAAAATAAATAAAAAGCATAGTACATAGACCTCTTTTTGTTGCTTTCAAGGCCCGGACCACTTTTTCATATAGTCCACAATGAAGAGTAGGACATTGGTCTCCTCTAATGAACCACAAACCGCAATGATGAACTACATCAGATGTGGAATGAGCAAAGTTTAAGGGTTATCTCCACAGACAAACACATGACATGACATGGTGGTCAATTGCAGGATAGATGCTTTATTTTAATACAAGAAAATCATGAAAAGTGTCATTTTAAATAATGTTTAAAGATAGTGGCGCAGATCTGAACTCATGCAAACATCCCTGATATTTCTGTGGGTGTATTTATTGATTAAAGTCATTCATTTTCCTATGAACACACATATGTGCACTTAATGAACTGCATATGGAGGACATTAGAATTACCAAGGTTACGTCTGTGCGGTAGATGAGCTCTGATGCTGCAGACCTTTACCTGTAGTTGAGCTTCTGTATACGTACAGACACATACACACACTGACAGTGATACATATCTACAATTGTCCAACACAGCTGGACTGAGCTGTTCACCAGCTGTGTGAACGGTTGAGATGTTCTCGAGTGATAAGCCTTATGGACACGCTCAGAATGTGAAGAATGATCTCTTTCGTTAGGGGAAAACATCCATTAAAGCTTCTTTCAGTGTGCGAACTTGTGGAATGTTGTAATGATTTAAGTTTATTAGTAATTTTTTTACCTATTTTTTGAAAAAGAATAATCAACTAAATTGTCTGAATTGAAGCCATTACTATATTTAATTTCATGTGTTCTTCCATCACATTTTCAAATAAGGTCATATTTACAACTTGTGATGCATGATAATAAATGATAACGATATGTAGTGATTGTACAAATGTGTCTGATCTGATCTGGAGTGATTATTGGAGTATTGTGTTCTGATTGCAGGGATGAAAATATGACAATGTATAAATTGAATTTAAAAAATAAATTTGCTTGGTTTTAATTCTGTACAAATTGGTGGTGACTTGATGACCATGGGGAAATGTGGATCACAAGCCAGTAGAGAATTACTGGTCCAATGTATGTCACCGTATGGCATATGCTGCTCACTCACCTACGAACTGTGTACGGAGCATATGCAACAGGACAGTGACTGCAGTTCACTTAACGGCCATTGGTGTCACTATTAACAAGGGTTTTCTGAAAGTTACAAATAGAACCTTTAAGGAAAACATCTTTCAAAAAAGCTTAACAGAAGTGATAGGGGATCTGAACGGGGCTTCATCTTGACAAACGTGGCTGGGTGGCTGTTAGGGATACAGGGATGAGATCCACTTGGGCTTTGTTTTCCATCTATCATAAGGTCATTACTGCCTGCTGTCATCATTAGCTGCCCCCTGGATGAAGAGTTGATCCTGGGCAGCGTGGCCTGGCCTCGGCCCAACTTTTCTCTCTGTTTACCTTGGACGCTCAATAAAGGCACGACATGTCTTTAATATCTAATCTGGACAAAGCCAAACTAATGGCTTAATGAATATGGCATTCATTCATAATTCTTCTGATTCAAAGAAAACACGTTTAGTAGTTGTTTTCCATTCTTTATCAACCAATCACCTAATGCTGGAGAGGTAGGTTATTTTTTTTCTCAAAAGGTTCAGGAATCATTACATTATAACATTATCATTTTCTCTTTTAAAAGAGAATTTGGATTCATGATCAAGATCTGATTTTTAGTCCATAGGTTAATATTATGCAGTGCACTTCTTCGCCATGGGAAGAATGTGAGTGAAATCAAGGAGTAACAGAGTATAAAAAGCTTGGTGTGTTTGTTTCTATAGTTACACCCCACGGTGTGTGTCCCCTTTTTATTCTTGGCTTGTCAAGTGAGGAGGGCAAGATTTATTTAGGGGATGCAATGAAAAGTGTGATACAGAATGCCTGGATGCATATGGCATCTCTGCTATTTGGCCCACACTTAGGAGAAGGTTGCTGAGTGGTTCACAGTGTTGTCCTTAAAGCATTATCATGTCCAATAAACAGAGGAAACTACAGAAATATACTTGTACTATATAAATTGTTATAGTTAAAGTATCAAATTAGACTTCATCTATTAATTGCTTTAAGGTAGCCATCAAAATATTTACCTACAACAGATTTTCAATCTTGCATTCTTGTACATTCATTGATGAGAACTTTTTTTTATCAGCTGTTAACTTGATACATTTACAGATATATGTATCTATTAAAATTTTTTTTAACTTCATATAAGATTTGCCCTGCTATACAGTAATATATCATCACTGACATCTGTGACAAAAAAACTTTCCAAAAGTTTCAAAAATGTCAACCATTACAATTGAAAGAACTGTGTGAGAATGTTTGAGCAATGCACACGGATCACTTCATCAAGTGTCAGGCCCAACTCAAAAGATGATCCATAAAAGGCTACTAGGTATTTTTATCTTAACATGACCTTGTGCACCATACTGAGTACACATTCTCACATTCTCACTGCATCCAGTATGACTGCTTGATTTCTCCATGCTGTGCTTTGTCAGAAACAACCTATGCAATGTATTTTCTTCACAGATTTCACCTATACTTGCTAAAATAAAATGTTTTGTGTCCCTATGTTTTACACTTTTAAAACCAAAGATAACATCTGCCTTTACAAAATATGTTTAATTAGACCCTGTCATAATAAAGGAAGGGAATTTCAAGATTGGATATTGCATTGATTAAATCCTGTAGTGACTGCCTTACTGCCAGTGAGAAATGTGGACTCAATACAGTATTAACAATTAAGACTGAAGATTGATAGAGAACTCACTTCTTAAATCTTAAAATATCTGAGCAGTATGTTGAGCTGTGTTGTGTTTTCTCTTCTCTGTGAGAAACCAAACAGTGTCCATACACCTGTCCTGTCAGCTGATGCCAGGTTATTGTCCCTCAGTGTGGGACTAATGGCCTTTTCGGTGCCGAGGTGTCCCACTGAAGTGACCTCAGAGGCACTCTGCTTCATAAGCAGAACACAAAGGCCTTTGGATGGTTATTTCACACAGGTCGTTTATTGTCTGATTGTGCTGATCGTGGTAATACACTTAATTTTTTGTTTGCTGAAGCTTGAGTAAGAACTCAAATTCATG